GGTAGCAATAGGATGGATAATGTACTTACCCATATGGGCCTCCGTTAACACCTCATCCACTATCTGACATTTCAGAATAATGATCTGATCTTATTTTACTTAACACTAAGCTTATCAGTGAATACAAATTTTTTTCTTTCATAGAACGAACTCCTTCATCAAATAATTGAGCCTCTTTAATCTGCTTTATTAACGAGTTCAGAACTACAGTAGATGTAACACCCTCCCTTGTAGGCCTCCAAGAGAGTTGTTTGCTAAGCGGAATTAGAGTTCTTTTGTCATATTTAAGTACTGAAAAATCATTTTGATGTTGGTAATTAAAACTTGTAATTGGAATCGGGTTCCTTACAAAAATCAGAGTATACTTTCATAATTTCTTAACTTGCTGAAAATAGTAATTTCCTGGCCGATGTTGCTGTCTTTAAAAATTTGTATAAAATCAGTTTCGACGATTCAAAAAAATATTCCATATATTGTAGAAAGAGCACGTCTGGGGCTTCGCGTTCATATAAAATAATAGTAAATCGGAGTTCGTTTGCCCCTCTTAACATAACTCGCAAAGTGCTCGCAAAACTGTTCGAAAATCAGCACTTGATAAAACGTCAGAAATTATTTTCGCAAACTGTTTCTAGAATTTATCTCCAAAATACTTGCTGATCATAAAAGTCTTAAATCAACAATAAAATCATAATCCAACATTTATCCAAATTTCTCAATTTAATACAGTCATCCATCAAATGAACAGCAACAGCAAAAGTCCAAACAATAGCACATAACAGCAAATATCCATATAATCATGACTTCATATGTTTTTCCGTCCTCCTGGCATTTTGTAAAAATAGCATCCCCAAAGGGGTGAGAAAAATCTCAGTAGTGTGGCAACAAAACCAATAATGCAACAAAATTAAACTAGGCACAAAATTATAAACAGTCACATCAACATTTCATTTTCCGATAACATATCATAGTGCGTATATAACGCCATCATTACGCTCATATCACCTTCGTGCGCGTACTAACATATCATTAGTGCGTATATAACGCCATCATTATGCTCATAGCACCGTCGTGCACGTACATACACAGTGGATATTCCATATAATGGCTCCCTCAAAGGTGAATTCCAACTGTGGCCTATGCGGACGGAAGCCATGTGTCCCATACCCTGGTACCGAAGGGATGCCTATATGATGCGTGCTCATACACATGGTCCTGTATATAACTATTCTAAATTTCAAGGCTAACATGAATCTTGTACATGCATGTCATACTATGCTCTCACACACAAAACAAAAAAGCAGATGCGGTATGATGTAAAGTGCATGCTTATATCATCATCATCATAACATATACTTCATGTACTTTTGATGCCATACTGCCACGCCATCATTTCTTTTCATAACAGAGTTACCATCATAACATTTCCATAGGCAGAATACTTTCATCATAAATAGCAGGATAATCATTAGGCACATGTGAGCAACAATTCACAACTTCATACACTAGTTAATAGTCACATTAGGTAATACCACCTAACACATACCTCGCGTGCCACCAATATTATTTACCAAACAGCAGCGATAGTCAGTCTCAGGACATTAATTTCTTGCGAGGACTGTGAATCCTCACTAGAAGATAAATCATCTTCATGGATTTGCACTTAACGTTTATGCGCATCTAAACAGAATATCAAGAGTCAGAATTACGATTCACGGGTTTTTCCTTTACGTAACATACGTTTCCACTTCCTCTTGAACCTAGGTTCGCAATCTGTTTTCACGGTTCCTATCTTAGCTAAATTTTCTGATTAAAATTTAGCTTTACCCATGGTTAACAAAACTAAACTTCTTAACATACAGATTCGATTTTCATGGTTTTCCTAAAGAATTTATTTCCTGGTTTCATACTAATTTTTCTAACTTGTAACAATGACGAAATTCCATGTTTCCCATGTATGTCCATTCGGTCTTACCATGCTTTTCTTTCTCTAATAATTTCTATCTTCCAGTACTTTTATCCACTTGTTAATAGTAATAAGATCCCAAGCTCACAATAGGACAATTTTGGCTTACACGTCTCAAATCCTAAGGCTATTTAAATGGGCATAATTAAAGAAAGGTGAATCACCAAAAATAGTCTCCCTAAGTTAAGCATGGAGATCGAAACAGGGATGCCAAAAAGAGGGGGTTAAATATTTGGCTCTTACCTCTAACACACGCCTATAGCTTCCAAATCCACCAATGAAAGGCGGTCACCAAGTGAGGAACACAACCAAACTTCCCATGTTCCAAAATTTCGAATCTTTGCTTGTCGATAGATGGGGTTCGGCCAACAAGGAAGGAAGAAGAATGATGCCTAGGTATTTTGCTCCCTGCACATATTTTTTTCACGGCTTGAAGAAAAGGGAATGGGGCACACTTTCTTGGTGTTCTCTTCTAAGTATGCTTACGGTCAAGAAGAAGAAAATATGTTCAAGTGTCTTACTTCCTTTCTATGAAGTACACGGTTTCTATAGAGGAGGAGATGAGGGAAAAATGCAGTTTTATTTCTTTGCTCCTCACATACTCACGGCCTTGAGGGTGGTGAAAGGAGAAAAGTGGTGTTGGGTTTATTTTTTTGTAGAGAATGGTCATCTCTCTTTCTCCTAATGCATGCACAAGTGATGGAGAGATAAGGGTTATGGGTGCTGAATCAAAAATGACCCCCTTCAGATTTCTTTTTGGTGCCATTGGCTGCATGGGCGGCAAAAAGCTAAAGGATTTGGATACTTAAGCAAGCAATCAGTTTGCTTTTTACATATTCTATACGCATGCAAGGGAGATACAAAGATAGGTGAGCTTTGGCATGTGGGCCTTCTAAATGTATAGGTGGCGTACATGCAAGGAGTGGTGGAAGATTTTGGTTGACACATGGTAAACATGCAAAGCTTGAGTGGAATGTGAATATAAGAACATATGATCAGAATTTTCTTCCCTTCTACACTTAGCGCATGCAATAGATACAAGAATGGATGGGCTAGATCCTAGGTTGAGTGTGGGATAAGCAAGTCTTCTCACATTGTTCAATGTTGTCATACGCATGGGGAGGGGTAAAAAGGTGTAGAGTGTAAGACACCCAAGGTGTGGTGTGTGTAACAAGTGATGAGGAGCTCGCATAACGGGGAGAGGATGGTGGCTTAAGGTATCATATTGTTCTTCCCAATGCATAGAGGTTGGATAGGGTAACTTTGAGTGTGCAACACTCAATGTAGAGTGCGTAAGACAAGCCATGCTCTTAACTCTTTTCATGATGACAGTTTCGCCTAGGGGATTGGGAAAAGTGAATCTACTTTTTTAATCATGAATGAAGAAAGCCTTGGGTTTATGAATCTTTGATGTGTCGCCTAGGGAGTGGGAAAAGCAATTCATGTCTCCTTTCTTCTAACATGGCCGACGGCTTGTACTTGGGAATGGCCAAGTTTCATTTGACTCTTGCCTCACTCAATATTAATTCCCTACTAATAGTCATACCACTCAAAATCAAAGCATGTATTGCACGTAATTCGAAATTCCTCATAGCAATTTATATATTTTGAATTCAAGCGTACTTCCACATTGCTAAATACAATATGTATGAGTTCCTAGTTTTTACGGAATGTTATAGTAGAAGTCAACAAATACGGATTATCCTCGGAACTAACAGGAGTGTTGAAATCTCTAAACTTTTCAATCAAATCATACTCTGAAATCATCAAACTAGACATATAGATCGCCTTCTTGCTTAAGGCATCGACTACCACATTGCCTTTACCTGGGTGATATTACAATTCAAAATCATAATATTTCAGAAATTTAACCCATCAGCTTTGCCTCATATTCAACTCTTTCTGATCAAATAGATACTTTAAACTTTAGTGGTTACCGTGGACAATGAACTCAGCACCGTATAAAAAGTGTCGCCAAATTTTCAATGTAAACACTACGGCTTCCAATTCAAGATCATGTGTTGGATAATTCTGTTCATGCAACTTTAACTGCCGAGAAACATAATCAACCATCTGACGTTGCTGCATCAATGCACAGCCTAATCAAACTTAGAAACATCACACTATTTTTCAGATTTACCTGCAGAATCATGAAAAATTAATACCGGAGTGGTACTTAACTTCCTTTTTAATTCCTAAAAACTCATTTCACATTCTTGGGTCCACACAAATGGGTTCCCTTTACGGTTAACCATGTTAAAGGTAGTACCATCAGTGAAAATCCCTCAATATAACGCCTATTATATCCAGCCAAACCAAGAAAACTCCTGATCTCTATAATATTTTTAGGACGTTCCCAATCTATCACTGCTTCAATCTTACTCGGGTCCACTGCCACTCTTTCAGATGAAATGTCATGGCCCAGGAATTGTATCTCAGAAAGCTATAAATCACACTTGAATAGCTTAGCATACAACTGATGCTCTCTCAAAATCTGCATAACAACTCTCAAATGCTCAGAATGCTCTTCTTTGCTCTTTGGATATATTAGTATGTCATCAATAAAGACAACCACAAACTAATTCAGATAGGCTTTAAAGATCCGATTCATATAACTCATGAAAACGGCCTTTGCATTTGTGAGCCCAAAAGGAATAACCATATACTCATAGTATCCACATCGAAACCTGAAATCTGTTTTTGGAACATCATCTGGCTTTATCCGGATCTGATGATACCCGGACCAGGGATCAATATTAGAAAATACAGTCGCACCACGCAACTGATCCAACAAATCATCTATACGCGGTAAATGATACTTATTCTTGACAGTAACCTTGTTCAACTGCCGGTAATCTGTACACAATCTCATAGACTCGTCCTTCTTCTTAACAAAGATCACTGGGACTCTCCACGGAGACACACTCAGTCTAATGAAATTCTTACTGGACAAGTCTTCACTCTGCTTCTTTAATTCAAATAATTCCAGAGGTGACATTCGGTATGGAGCTAGAGACATACGCCTCACTCCAGTCAACTAGCCAATTGAAAATTCAATTTCCCTCTCCGGCGGAAAATTCAAAATTTCATCCAGAAAGACATCCACAAAATCAAAGACCATAGGGATATTAGAAATTGGCTCCTTATTGACGCCAACCAGAACTCCCAATAGAATAAACTCTGAATCTCCTTCCTTCAAGGCATTTGCAACCCGAAGGACAGACATATCCAGAGACTCTCTCACTTCATCGTTAGAGGAAATAGAAATGGTTTTGCTGCAACAATCAATCCGTACACAGTACTTAGATAACCAATCCATTCTCAAAATTACATTCACAGAGACAAAATGCAAGACAATAAAGTCAGCAAAATACTCCCTATCATCATACTTAGACTTCACATCCCTCCATATGAATGATTCCTCACTAACATTCCCAACGACCGTAATAATACACATAGGGAATCTCATCCTTATCACAGTCAAATTGAATGCTTCATTATTAATTCAAGCTCTTTCTGCCTAGTTGCAGTCCAAGTCTGTTGTAGTGCAGCAAAAATTGCTACAACAAGATTCGGTGATGGATCATCATTATTAAATGTCCTACAAGTCCTCCTTGGAGGAACCATATCTCTGCATATATTACGCTAAGGAATGAGTTAGCTACGCTCACACTTAGTGATCACACATGCATATCATAGTAAGGAGTCTTTTCCCGCTTGAGTGCTCCGTCATAGTTAGTGAACTGTGGTTGGATTGTATGACTGTTTTGATGCTTTGTATAGATGCATTCATATAGAGCTAATTGATAACATGATATGACTTGTTCTGATATGATTTCTGTATTGATTGTATGGTACATGGATGTCTTCTTGGGGTTTCCCTGAGATTGACAGTGTACGCCTCTGACATGTTCTGGTTTCGCTTGGGGTCCTCCCTTAGGAACACGGGCGTTAATTTCCACTTGGGGGCCTCCCTTGGGAATGACGGTGCATGCCTCTGATGAGTAATGTATATCTGTTTTGTTCTGTTATGATATTTGTTATATGTTGCATTGGTATACTCTGTATCTGACTTTCATGCAGGAGTGAGCCAGGGGTATGAAAAATTCTCTATAAACCTGGAGCTTATTGATCCTATTGCTGCGATTCAGTGGTTGGAAGAATTGGATCGTATTTTTACTGTTATGGAGCATGACGATCGGCAGAAATTATTATATACTTCATATATGTTGCAGAGTGATGCAGCTGACTGGTGGAGAAATACTCGTCAACCCTTGGAATGTCAGGGATATGCTATTACCTGGCTTTTATTTGAAAGGCAGTTCTTGATGAGATATTTCTCGGAAGAAGCACGACTGAGGAAAAAAGGAGAATTTGAGGAACTAAAGCAGGGCCAAATGTCCATTGATGAATACTTGAATAAATTTAATAAGCTGGCAAAATATTCCCACTTCCAGATAGCTCCGCCTACTGAGGAGGATCTGATGTTTAAGTTTCAAAGAGGACTACATGATAATATTTCAAAAAAAAAACTTGCAGGGAATTCTTCTGACACTTTTGTGGCACTTATCAAGAAGTGTAAACTTGTTCAAGAATATTATGGAAATAAGAACAAAGATCAAGCTGCTCCTAATCCTGGTCCTAAAAATACAACTAGCGGTTCTAAAGGAAAAGGTCTGCAGGTGAAACAGTCAGATGGCAAGTTCAGGAAGGATGGAAATTCAAAGCCTGGAAATTTTAAATCTGCTCCTCAGTGCGCTACGTGTGGTAAACCTCATTCTGGAGTTTGCAGAAAAGGGCAAAGATTATGCTATAAGTGTGGTAGAGCGGGACATTTTATTAAGGACTACCCCTTTAATGGGGGATAGGTTGCTACCGTCCAGGCTACTCTGACTCCTATTGTGGTTGAGGAACCATCTCTACCTCTTCCACCTCCAGTTGCCCGAGTATATGCAGTGACTCAGGAAGAGGCTGAGAGATCAGCTAGTTTGGTGCGAGGTATGATTTCTATTCTTGATGAAATGCTTAGTGTCTTGTTTGATTCTAGTGCCACACACTCGTTTGTAGCTGATTATGTAGCTAAAGCATTTAATATGTGTGTGACAAAAATGAGAACTCATATGCGTATTGTTACGGCTGTGGGAAGTGTTTTTGATGAAAAATATATTTGCAAAAATGTGAAATTCAAGTATGAAGGCAGGAAGTATTTTGCCGATTTTATCTTCTTACATCTTGCCTCTGTGAATTTAATTTTTGGAATGGATTGGTTGTCTAAGTACTGTGTGAAGATTGACTGCTGCAGTAAAACCATTTTTGTCTCATCTAATGATGAAGAGAGAGAGTCTCCTTATTTGTCTGTTCTTTGGATTGTAAAGGCTTTGAAGGAAGGAGATTCCGGGTTTATTCTGTTGGGAGGTCTGGTTGGTGTCAATAAGGAACCAATTTCTAATATCCCTATTGTCTCAGACTTAGGATGTTTTTCCGAATGAAATTCCGCACTTTCCGCCAGAGAGGGAAATTGAATTTTCAATTGACTTGTTGCATGGTATGGGACCTATCTCTCTAGCCCCATACCGGATGTCGCCTCTGGAATTATCTGAGCTAAAAAAGCAGATTGAAGACTTGTCCAGTAAAAATTTCATCAGACCGAGCGTGTCTCCGTGGGGAGCCCCGGTGATCTTTGTTAAGAAGAAGGATGGGTCCATGAGATTATGTACAGATTACCGGCAGTTAAACAAGGTTACTGTTAAGAATAAGTATCCTTTGCTGCGTATAGATGATTTGTTGGATCAGTTGCATGGTGCGACTGTGTTTTCTAAGATTGATCTCCGGTCCGAGTATCATCAGATACGGATGAAGCCGAAAGATGTTCCGAAGACAGCTTTCAGGTCTCGATATGGACACTATGAGTACCTGGTTATTCCATTTGGGCTTAGAAATGCACCGGTCATTTTCATGAGTTATATGAATCGGATCTTTAAAGCCTATCTGGATCAGTTTGTGGTTGCTTTTATTGATGACATACTGATATATTCAAATAGCAGAGAAGAACATTCTGAGCATTTGAGGATTTTTTGCAGATTCTGAGAGAGCACCAGTTGTATGCTAAACCGTCAAAGTGTGAATCCTGGCTTTTTGAGATACAACTTCTGGGCCATGTCATCTCATCTGAAGGAGTGGCAGTGGACCCGAGTAAGATTGAAGCAGTATTAGACTGGGAACGCCCTAAAAATATTACAGAGATCGGGAGTTTTCTTGGTATGGCTGGGTATTACAGGCGTTTTATTGAGGGATTCTCACGTATGGTACTACCTTTGACACAGTTAACCCGTAAAGGAAACCCATTTGTGTTGACCCAAGATTGTGAAGTGAGTTTTCAGGAGTTAGAAAGGAAGTTGACTATCGCTCCGTTATTGATATTGCCTGATCCTACAAGTAAATTTGTGGTATACTGCGATGCTTCTAAGTTTGGGTTAGGCTGTGTATTAATGCAGTTTCGTCAGGTGGTTGCTTATGCTTCTCGGCAGTTAAAACCGCATAAGGAGAACTATCCAACGCATGATCTTGAGTTTACAGCCGTAGTGTTCGCATTGAAAATTTGGCGACACTTTCTATATGGGGCCGATTTCACTGTTTACAGTGACCACAAAAGTTTAAAATATTTGTTTGATCAGAAAGAGTTGAATATGAAGCAACGCCAATGAGTGGAATTTCTGAAGGATTACGATTTTGAATTGCAATATCACCCTAGTAAAGCCAATGTAGTAGCCGATGCTTTAAGTAGAAAGGCGCTTGGTAAAGCTAATATGATGATTTCTGAGTATAGTTTGATTGAGAAGTTTAGGGATCTCAACATTCCTGTGAATGCAGAGGATGTGATTGCAGAAGATAGCCAGTATTTGTTGACTACTACGGTAGTCCAGAACTCATTAGTCGAGCGGATTAAAGAAGCTCAGCTACTTGATAAAGAGATTCAGTCTATGAAAGAACAGGACTTTATATCCACTGATAAGTTCGGTCTAAAGTTTTGCAAAGATCGAATCATTATTTTGAAGGGTCAGATGGTAGATGAGGTGTTGACTGAGGCCCATATGGGTAAGTACACTATCCATTCTGGTGCTACCAAGATGTACCAAGACTTGAAACTAAATTTATGGTGGTCGGGTATGAAGAAAAATATTGCTCAGTTTGTGAATAAGTGTTTGACATGTCAGAAAGTTAAGATTGAGCATCAGAGACCTTCTGGATTACTGCAGCCCTTGGATATTCCGGAATGGGAATGGGTCAGTATTTCTATGGATTTCGTAGTGGCATTACCGAGAACTCAAGCTGGTTTTGATTCTATATGGATTGTGGTAGACAGATTGACAAAGTCTGCACATTTCATTCCAGTCAAGACAAGTTTCTCTACTGAGCAGTTGGCTCGATTATATGTGAAAGAGATTGTAAAACTTCATGGTGTTCCTGAAAGTATAATTAGTGATCGGGACCCTAAGTTCACTTCTAGACTCTGGGAAGCATTGAAGCAGGCATTCGGTACGCAGCTGAGATTGAGTACGGCTTATCGTCCCCAGACTGATGGTCAGACAGAGTGGACCATTCAGACTCTGGAGGACATGTTGAGGGCTTGTGCCTTAGAGCAGGGGACTGCGTAGGATAAGTATCTGCCATTGGTGGAATTTTCCTACAATAATAGGTATCATGCCAGTTTGGGCATGGCTCCCTATGAGGCTTAGTATGGTCGTAGGTGCAGGGCACCTACTTGCTGGTCAGAAATTGGTGAAAGACCGTTGTTTGGGCCTGATATGGTCCAGGAGACTACTGATCAGATTATAATGATTAAAGATCGACTAAAGAAAGCACAGAGCCGCCAAAAGAGTTATTATGATGTAAAACACCGACCCCTAGAATTTTCTAAAGGGGAGCATGTGTTTATTCGCTTGTCTCCGACTACGGTGTTGGGCGTGCTCTTGGAGTGAGGAAGTTGAGTCCTAGGTTCATAGGGCCCTACCAGATTATAAAGAGGGTCGGACCTGTGGCGTATCAGCTTACCTTACCTCCACATCTGTCAAACCTGCATAATGTTTTTCACATTAGTCAGTTTCGCAAATACGTACCTGATGCGTCCCACATTGTCCAGCAAGACGATATTGAGGAAAAGAAAGATTTGAAGTTTGTTGTGGGACCATTGAAGGTTCTAGCTCGTGATGAGAAAGTATCGAGGAACAGGGTTATTCCCCTGATCAAGGTACAATAGGAAGGTTTGACTCCTGAAGACGCTACTTGGGAGCGAGAGAATGATATTCTTCAGCGTTATCCTGAGTTTGACGTCAGGTATGTGTTATGTCTTGTGTTTGATTTTCTGGGCAAAATTCTTAAAAGGTAAGGTGAATATAATAACCCTCACTAGTAGTTGTGGATTTAATATTAAAGAATAATTAGAAGTAAAAGAAATAAAGTCACCTTTGGTGAAAAATGAGTTAAAATGACAGTTAAGGGGTAAAAATGAGGGTAAGCAAAGTTACCCGAAAAGTGAAAGTAAAATTATAAATATGACTAGAAAAATATTATAGCCCATTGGGTAAAGTTTGGTAATGAATGGAGGTGTGTAGATAGATGAGTTATTACCCAGGTAAAGTAACTTAACCTATTTCATATTAAAGCACAGTGACACTCCTTCCTTCATTCTCCCGTTCACGAACGTCTCTGTCTTCATTTTCCATGGAAAACAAAAGCTAGGTTTTCCTTTTTCTTTCTTTGATTTCTCATCACACAATCATCCAATTGCAAAAGTCAATTACATAAAACCAATAGTAAATTATCCAATGAATCCATTCCACCACTTATTTTAGGCTGAAAATGCTTGTGTAAAAAGTTCTCCTCTTCCCCTTGTGCGAGTTACTATTGATCAAGTTTGAAAATTGGAGTTTTTGATGGAGCCTTGCTTGGAGTTGGTTCTCTAGGCTTGGTATAAGGGATTAGAGGTGAGAAATCTCTATTTCCATGGTTTGATTTCATGGTTTAAGTTTTGAATATTATGAGCATATTTTGTGTAGAATTTATGAAGTGAAAACTTGAAATTTATGAAGTATTAGTGTGTCTTATGATGATATAGTGTCAAGCAAGCATGATGATGAGTTGGAAAATTGAAAAAAATTCCCTAGGCCACTACTTAGATTTCGTACATATTGGGCATTTAGGGGTTAATGTGCCAAAATAATTAAATTAAATAATTGTGGAGGTTTATATGTATGTGTATGTTGAGATTTAGGTATTAAAGTGAGAATACCAAGTGAAAAATTCATTGGAAACCCTCGTTGTGAATTTCGGCCATTAGGACCTAATTAGGGATGATTATGTTAAAAATTATTTTGATAATGTGGTTAGGTCCTAATGCATGGCTTTAGTATGATTCTGAAACTAAATGGTTTAAGACATAATGAGAGGCACCTTAGCTCTTTGTATGTATTGCCACGACTTTGTGAACAAAAAGAATAGGCAAAGTTAGGCTTAAAAATTGTTATTAAAATATATGAATAATTTAGGGACTAAGTGTGAATTTTATGAACTATTAGTTGTATCCATTGATTTGATGCAAATTCCCTTGTTTCCCTATATGTTGGCTCGGCCATTTAGGAATTTTGGGGACTAGGAATTGTTAAAATTATAAAATGGTAAATTAAAGGAAATTACGAAGGCATGGTCTTGACTTGTGAATTGGCATAGGATTGGCATAATGTGAGGAAAAGAAAGTGAGCAATAAGATGTATGCCTTGTGTAAATTTCATGGCATTGTAACATTTTATTGATTTTGTTTTGAATTCTTTCTCTAGGTGTGCCTAGGGATTGAGAGGGTTTGAATTTCCTTGGAGCTACATAAGTAACTTGTGTGACAAGTAAGCGAATTAGTAAAGCTTTAAGAGGTAAGCTCTATGTTTAAGGAGTCTTTTCCTACTTGAGTGCTCCACCATGGTTAGTGGACTATGGTTGGATTGTATGACTGTATTTGGTGTTTTGTATAGATGCATTCATATAGAGCTATTTGATAACATGATATGACTTGTTCTGATATGATTTTCGTATTGATCCTTGGCCATTGATTTGTTTGTGCATTGATGTCCGCTTGGGGTCCTCCCTCGAGACTGGCTGTGTACACCTCTGTTATGTTCTGGTTCCGCTTGGGGTCCTCCCTTGGGAACACGTGCGTTAATTTCTGCTTGGGGTCCTCCCTTGGGAATGACGGCGCACGCCTCTGATAAGATATGTATATATGTTTTGTTCAGTGAAGATATCTGTTATATGTTGCCTTGTATACTCTGTATCTAAATTTCATGCAGGAGTGAGCCCAGGGGTATGAAGAATTCTCTATAAACCTGGAGCTTATTGAGATTTGTTATCTCACCCCTCTTTGAGGACATCATTTCAGGTTCTCAGATCCCTGGTGAGCCCTCATTAGGCAGGGTCGCGATCCGTGGTTGAGGCGTTCAACAGACCACATTTTGAATAGCTGTAGGCTACTGCTATTTTGTAGTATAGTGATGTTATTTAGCATTCCAGTATTTTGTGGATCATGATGTCTGATCCTTTTACTTTGTATATGGCCTGTATATGTTTTGTACATGTCTTTCAGTTTGATGTATGTACATTGGTGTATTCAGGCATGTTGATATGACGATGTAGTATTCAGTTATGTTTACGTGTTGGATTGCATACTGTTAGATATAGTGGCACAGAGCCAAGTTATATATGCGCCAATGGATGGGTATATAATTTTATATGGATATCTGGTACTGCTGAAAGTATAAACTGTCTATGAGGAACTCTTGAGAGTGGGATTGGAAAATCCCTAGTTGTCCGATTTACAGAGGTTACTCTGTCCGATTTTCGTCTTCGTCAAATAAGAATTAAACTAGAAAAAGAAAAATTTAGCTTGTCTTTTGCGTAAATTAAGTCTTCCGCTGTTTCTGTGTGTATCATATGTATGCTAATTGAACCGGCTCGAGACGGGGATGTTACATGTTATCTCCTTTGATTGCGCATGATTATAGTTATTTACTCTTTTTGTTATTTTATTTTTGCCTATTTAAGTCTTGGAGAACCCTATTGTTATTTGGTTGTTTTTTTGGTTAAATAAAATTAAGAAAGAGAAAAGTGTTTTCTCGCAATTCTTGTTTCGTTCTTCTTTTTGTTTAGCCAATTGGTTACTGCTTTGACATTAAAATTGAAGATTTTTTTATTATAAAAATTGGAGATTTTTTATTTTTATAAAAAATAATATATTTTTTGGATACACTAATCAACAGATTTCTATAAAAATTAATATCATTTGATATATTTGTGAGAATTATATAAATTCATTATTAAAAGGTATTTTCGTCAAAAATATTTATTTTTATCTTATCTAGTATTACATAGTACATTACCAAACATTAATGATATTATATTTTACAATATCATACCAAACGCTGAATAATATTAAAATTTAATCAAACCTTATACTATCAGTATCAAATTTTATCGTATACTTTATACCAAACTTGCCTTACTAAATATTCTGAATCGGCTACTATTTCAGTCAATAATAAAGAAACTTTTTAGAAAAGAGTGCAAAATAATGTGCATGTTACTAACTTTCTCTTACAACTTTCCTTAATTATTATTTCTTGACACCATCAATTCATTTAAGAACTGCGAAATTTCCCATATGAAATTAGTCATTTAAAACTTCGGCTAAAATATATTTGTAGTCTTTCAACATTACAATCATTTTTAATTTGGTTTCTATACGAAAAAAAAATTTAACGATGTTCTTATTGTAATTGTGGTTATAGTAATGTGAAATTGACATGTAATTACTGTGAAATATAAGAACCAAATTGAAAATTATTGTCGCGGTTGAAAACTAAAAATGTATATTTGTAATACTTATACACGATATTTATTTTTAATTTGGTTTCTACACTTTATTGTGTAATAAATCAAACATCACTAATAGATTATGATGACGAAATTAAAGATAAATATAAATTATCTCAAAAAGTAATATATTTTAATCTTAAAGTTGAGGAAGTTAAACAGTTTTCTACTTTTTACTTAAAAATTATTTGGAAAAAATGTGTGTCATTTTAAATGACACACCTTGTATCCTTTCACTCTAACAAAGAGATGAGATTAACATTTTTAAAACTTTTTTTCCCCACTCTCTTCCATGATTTATCTCTTTCTCTCACTTAAAATGACACAACTTTATGTCCTTTATAATGATACACATTTTTCCCAAATTGTTTGAGGGAACATGAAATATATGAGTAAAGTAAACGAAGAGGCGCTTACCAAAAAAAAAAAAAGTAAACGAAGAGGCAAGAAGTAATATATATATGGACCTTCTGATTTCTGAAGACAAGCGCCAAAAGAAGAGTGTAGGGAAAACAAGAAGACACCTTTTTTGTTCTCTTCTTAAGCCAAAGAATAGCTCCTACAGAGGGTTAATCTAAGAGTTTTCATCATTTTTTTAGCATGTTTTCAACTCCTTATCCCACCTTTCTTCCTGAATATCAAGCTCATTTCTTAATACTTCCTTAACAAGTATAAATGCAGTTAAAAAAAGTATCACTATCAATGGGTTTCTGATCACAAAGTTATATCTACATTGCATGCATGCATTTTGTTATTCTGTTCTGCCAATTTTACTACAAAGAGGGAAATGATGGAAGGTGATAGTTCCTCAAGCAAGAAGAGGGCACCCTATGATGATTATGGCTTTACGGATTTTATTTTTTCTTGGTCCATTGAAGACATTCTCAATGAAGAACTGTACAAAAACCAGGTTGGGACTATTCCTCCATTTTATCTTATTTAAGCATTGATGGTTTTTTGTTCTTCCTGTTGCTTTATCTAGTTTAATGCTTAGTTCATACACAAACACTAGTTTCTCATATTCTTCTGTTTGGCTCTGTGACTTTATCACTTAATTACCGTGCATATATGTACTTTTGCACAGCCACATGTATATTTCACATTTTAGAAACGAAAGAAATAAATTAACTTCAGAATTTTCCAGCTGTTATAACATATATAGAAGATGTTTTTCTTCACAAGTTTTCATATTATAAATGGCTCTCTTTTCACGCGCACCCCATTAACGTATTGTTTGAGTTTAACCTTTAATGTTGAGTCCATCTTTTTATTGTGTTCAGGTACAGAAGATTGAGCTATCGTTTCAGTCCATTGATCATTATCTTGGGTCTTACAAGTACCCTTTATTGGAAGAAACTCGAGCGCAACTATGCTCAAATATGGACATGATATACCAAGCACCATTTGCTGAAGTCATTGGCCTTGAGGAGGCTAAACCGTTTGGAAAGAAACTCTACAATTTTAAAATTGATAGCTGGAAAAACAGGTTTACTCATCCTGGAGAGCCATACAAAATATTACCTGGGGATGTTCTAGTTTTGGCTGATTATAAACCTGAAACTGCACGAGATATGCAAAGGTTTGGAAGGACTTGGAGTTTTGTGTCAGTTGTCAAGACAACTGAAGATGAGAATGATGATAACATGTCTGTTTATTTTAAAGTAAAGACATCAAAAGATATTGACACCAGTAAACTAAGGAAGGAATCTCTATTTCTTGTTTTCTTGACAAATATAAGTCCTAACAGAAGAATTTGGAGCGGGCTTCACATGTCTGGTAATTTGAAGCTAGTCAAGCAAATCTTATGCACTGAGGTAAGAAACTTAATATTATGTTGTGGTAATATAGTTTTAATACATCATCTTAAACTTATATTCATTGTTCTAATGAAATGCTATTTAGTTATTTGTTTATTCTTTCCCTCTTATTTGTTTCCTTTCCCTCTTTTTTTCTTGTGTTTTATTTTGTTTCATTGATGCCAACTAACTAGTTTGGGATAAAGGTGATGTTAGTGATGATGTTAATGTTAAGTCGGTGCCAACATACATTCTTGCTTTGCTAACTACTAGAAGGAATGCAGAGTGTGTATTCGTATTGGATGCTAATTGTCTTGAAATTTCACATGCTATAAAGTGGAGCACTATGTTTTGGACATGTATCTTTATTTTCTTTTTCTTGTTATTCATATAATATATTTTTAGGCTGTGTTGTTTTAAAATAATTGATTTTGAAATCAACGTTAAAACTGATGAATGTATATATTCTGGAAAACAGTTTAAGGAAAATTGTAATTACAGCTCTGAGGGTGATGCTGTGTGGGATGACTGTTCATATCGATGGTTGTCTTCAGAACTTAATGAATCCCAATATAAGGCAATTTGCGCATGTCTTTCTGGCATTCATTGCAATCACAACTCCACTGTGAAACTCATTTGGGGTCCACCAGGGACTGGAAAGACAAAAACTTTGGGGACATTGCTTTTTGCTCTATTGAAAATGAAATATAGAATCCTTGTGTGTGCCCCAACAAATGTAGCTATCAAAGAAGTGGCTGCACGTGTTTTGAGTATTGTGAGAGAGTTACATTGTAGAGAATCTGATGATTTGTTCTGTTCCACGGGAGATATGCTGTTATTTGGGAACAATGAGAGGCTCAAGATTGGTGAAGATGTTGAAGATATTTATTTGGATTGTCGTGTGCAAGAGCTCACGAAATGCTTTTCACCTTCTAATAATGGTTGGAGTTCATGCATTGAATCAATGATTGATCTTCTGAAAAATTGTGTTTTTAATTATCATATATTCATTGAGAATGAGATGATAAGAGAGAAGACAATAAACAGAAAAAGCTCAGATTGTAGCCAGAGAAAACTCAAATCATTTATAGAGTTTGTGAGAGAAAGGTTTCTTTTAATCGCATTGCCACTAAAATCCTGCATTTCTATCTTATGTACACATGTAGCTATGTGTATGTTGGAACATAACTTTCAGAATTTGGTCTGCTTAAATAAGGCACTTGATTCATTTCAAGATTCGTTGTTTGAAAAATGTTTGCTTAGTGAAGGGTTGGAAAAGCATTTTTCTGATCTAAAAATATCAGAGAATTCTTCTTGGTCAGATAATGCTGCACACCAAGTGTACCAAAAAAGAAATGAATGTCTATCTGCTTTAATAAGGGTAAAAGATTCTCTTGGTAGACTCAAGTTGAAAAAATCTTTTAACAAGGATTCAATTAGAGAGTTTTGCTTCCAAACTTCATCATTAATATTTTGCACAACTTCTGGCTCCTATAAGCTACACTCTGTGGCCATGAAGCCACTGAACATTTTGGTCATAGATGAAGCTGCACAGTTAAAAGAGTGTGAATCAATAATACCAATGCTACTTCCAGGAATTAGCCACTCCATTCTTGTTGGTGATGAATGTCAACTTCCTTCTATGGTTAGAAGTAATGTAAGTATCATGCATATGCTTGAATTTATTTTTCTTTTAAAATAAATTCTTCATTCCCAACTCCCTTCTATTGCTAATTTACATTTGTGCTCCTTCTTTTTGTGTTTTAAGGTTTCTTATGAGGCTGGTTTTGGGAGAAGCTTATTTGAGAGGCTGAGCTCATTGGATCACCCTAAGCACCTTCTTAACATGCAGCATAGAATGCACCCGGAAATAAGTTTATTTCCAAATTCGTTTTTCTATTTTAACAAAATTCAGGATGCACCAAATGTTCAAGGAAATAACCACAGGAAGCAATATCTTCCACAGCCAATGTTTTGTCCATATTCTTTTATAAATGTAATTGGGGGAAGAGAACAATTTGATGATGCTGGACGAAGCTATAAGAATATGGCTGAGGTAGCAGTTGTCATCACAATACTGAAGAATTTGTACAAAGGTTGGTTCATTTATACAAGTTCTAAGCTATAATATCTGATGAAAGAAATTTCTGTACTGAAGGAAAGTGTTAGATGTTTTAACTAAATTGTTGTACTTTCTAGAATCTGATGATTAATTCACGTTTTGAAAATTGTTCAGTATCTTCTGATGAATCAGAGATGGCTTTGAATCATGAGATATATGCATAAATTGCTTTGATTCTGGATCACTAATACGAATTCAATGATTCATTCTTTTTTTCTTTTTTCTTTGCTTTTAATAATTCTCATTAAAAAGTTTGAAAAGTCAAATAAGTTCAAATTCTTTAATGAGCGCCATTGAATGCACCCTATTTGTTTGTAGCATTGTCCTATTTCACAACTACGACCACAACTGCAATATAAAACCTTGGGAGGAACACAAAAAGCTAATATAACTGATGTATAATGTACACTTGTCGTCTGAAATCTAATATGCAGCTACACTTTTTCCTTGTTCCAGCATGGTTAACATCAAAGGAGAAGGAGAAACTCTGCATTGGTATAGTGTCTCCATATAATGGCCAAGTGGTTGCAATTCAACAGAAACTTGGAAAGATGTATGAGAGCCATGATGGATTTAAGGTGAATGTGAAATCAATTGATGGTTTCCAAGGTGGTGAGCAGGATGTGGTTATATTATCAACTGTAAGAACCAATAACAGGACATCTCTTGAGTTCATTGCCTCTCCGCAAAGGACTAATGTTGCTCTTACAAGGGCCAGGTATAGATCATAAACTGTAAACATCTTTTAATTTCTTATTTGTTTTAGTGTATTATGTTAAGTAAAAGGTTTCTGTTTCTTTCAAATTTGTTAGGCACTGTTTATGGATTCTGGGGAATGAAAGGGCCCTAACAAGTAATGACAATGTTTGGAAGGCTGTGGTGCTTGATGCCATGAATCGTAAATGTTTCTTTAATGCAGACCAAGACATGGAACTGGCGAAAGCTATCATGGATGCAAAGAGAGAGATGGATCAATTTGATGATTTGCTTGATACCAATAGTGTCCTTTTTAGAAATGCTATGTGGAAGGTATATGTATCCTGGACTTCACTTTATACTTGTTTTTTTTTTAATTGTTCATGTGTGTTGTTACTGTAAACAATTATTTTCTTGGGTACCATAGTTTTAATGAGTTATTAACTATTTATAAGTTGTTGATTCTCATAGTAAATGTTTGAAGTTCTGAGTGTAACCAAGAACTAATAAATGGTTTATAATACATTATTGATATCCTCTGTATATGATATAGTCTACTTATCATTGCCACCAACCTACACGTTTTTCAGGTTCATTTCAGTGGTAAATTCCTAAGATCATTCAAAAGGCTGCGATCAGAACAATCCAAGAACATGGTTATAAACCTTTTACAAAGACTTTCTAGTGGGTGGAGGCCTAAAAGGACTAGTACAGAATTGTCTTGTGAAAATTCATCACACATTTTGAAACAATTCAAGGTAGAAAGTCGCTATGTTATTTGTTCAATAGACATAGTCAAAGTTTCAAGGTATATTCAGGTTTTGAAAGTATGGGACATTTTGCCGTTAGAGGATATTCCAAAATTGGTTAAGCGCCTTGACAGTGTATTTGGAAGATACACTGATGAATACATAAGTCTTTGCAAAGAGAAATGTTTTGACAGGTAAGCGAATTCAGTTGCATTAAGTTTAAAAGATTTAAGTTCTTCTAGCCTTAATTGATATGGAACCTTCGATTTCTTTCTTTGTGAACAGGAACATAGAGTTTCCTTTGAGTTGGCCAGTCTCTGCCAATATCCAAAAATTTAAGAATGTTAATAATGCAAATAAGGGAGATTTGAATGCTTTTGAAGATAAATGTTTCGCTGAAAACTCGAAGTTTGAGGAGAGTATGTTGTTAATTAAGTACTGCTCCTTCCATGATGGTTTAGTAGTCGATCTTCCGTTTGAGCTAACAGATGAAGAACGTGACATAATCCTCTTCCCTCAAAGTGCATTTGTACTGGGTCGCTCTGGAACTGGAAAAACTACAGTTTTGACCACTAAGCTGATTCAAAATGAAAAATTGCACCATTTGGCAGTTGAAGCAGCATATGGTTCCAATAGTTATGCAAATCCTGACAAACAGTCTAAGGAGATTGCTGCTGAGACTGAAAGACCAGTGCTACGACAGTTATTTGTGACATTGAGTCCTGGACTCTGTCTAGAAGTCAAACATCATGTTTCTCGTTTGAAAAGGTATGTAGCTTCTTTCATAAGACTACTGTATAATTTGGTGATACTCACTAAATGCAAATCCCAGTAGACAAAGCCTAATGTATGCAGTTTTATCCTTACATTTTTTCAAAGAGTTTGTTTAATTGAATCTTTGTATACTGTACAGGCCCCTAGATATTGGCTGTTTGTCAAATTAAAACTTATGTTCACAGCATGATTTTATTTTATTTTTTTATTAACTAGGAGTATAGAAAAATATCAGTACTCCATGACTTGTATTTTATTTATTACTAAAAGGATTAGATTTGTGCTCTATGATTAATAGGGTAATACAGTTTGGTTGTGAATTATCTTATACCCAGTATGGGTTTCTGTTTCAAAAGTTTCATCATCTTTAATATGTTTCCTGTTTGATTAACAATGCAATACTGTTAAAGCAAACCATTTTAACTGTTTTACTTTATTTCTAGCAATAATTAATTACAAAAAGTATTTATTGATCTTCTTTAGTTAATAAACTTTCTTGTGGATACATCAAACAGGTCCCTTTGTGAAGGAAGTTCAATTGATGAAGATATTGGTGATTCATTAATTCAATTTAAGGATATCCAAGATTCCTTTTTTGATCTCCCATCCGACCTCTATCCTCTTGTGATAACATTTCGTAAATTTTTGCTGATGCTTGATGGGACATTGAGTAATTCTTATTTTAAGAGATTTTGTGATCCCAAGAAGAATTCTTCTTACAGTCAGAACCATGGATTAAGTTCAGTTGAGTTGGAGACTATCATAATGAGGAAGGAAGTGAATTATGAAAGGTTTGATTCATTATATTGGCCTCATTTTAATTCCCAATTCAGTAAGAAGTTGGATTCTTATCAAGTGTTCACCGAAACAATGTCACATATAAAAGGTGGAATAAGAGCTGTTAAGTTAAGCCGGGAGGACTATTATACTTCATGTGAAAGCCGAACATCAAGTTTGAGCATGAAGACAAGAGAAATGATATATGATATATTTCAAAATTATGAAAAAATGAAGATGCAAAATGGTGAATTTGATTTGACTGATATTGTAATTGATCTCCATAGTAGACTAAGGACGGAAAGATACCGGGGTGATGAAATGAACTTTGTGTATATTGATGAAGTGCAGGATCTAACAATGGCTCAAATTGCTTTGTTTAAACATGTCTGTAGAAATGTAAAAGAGGGTTTTGTTTTTTGTGGAGATACAGCACAGACTATTGGAAGAGGCATTGATTTTAGATTCCAAGATGTAAGATCCCTTTTTTATAAGAACTTTGTGCTAGAATCTAAGACTTGGGGTCATGACAAAAGAAAAGAGAAGGCACATATTTCTGATATTTTTTTGTTGAGTCAGAACTTTCGCACTTGTGCTGAGGTGCTGAAATTATCACAAAGTGTCATTGAACTTCTGTTTCATTTTTTTCCTTATTCTGTTGATATGTTGAAGGTGGAGAATAGTTTGATACATGGGGAAGCCCCAGTTGTGCTAGAATCTAAAAACAGAGAAAATCCAATTGTAACAATTTTTGGTGAAAGTGGATGGAAGGGTGGGAGTAATTGCGAATTTGGGGCAGAACAAGTAATTTTGGTACGAGATGATTCTTCCAGGAAGGAAATCATGCAATATGTAGGAAACCAAGCTCTTGTTTTAACCATTTTAGAGTGCAAGGGCCTTGAGTTTCAGGTTGTCACAACAGAACTTGATTAGTTTAAGGTACATTTTTTTTTTCTGTAATCTTTTTAATAAGAATCTTTCTTATGGTCTCCTTTTGCATTTTTTAGGATTTGATGCTGTATAATTTTTTTGCTTCTTCACCTTTGAAAAGGCGATGGGGGGTAATATATGAATATATGAAGGGAAAGCATTTGTTGGACTCTAGAGCACATAGAAGTTTTGATGATTCCAAGCACAATGTTTTGTGCTCTGAGCTCAAGCAATTATATGTTGCTTTAACTCGTGCAAGGAAGAGATTGTGGATTTGTGAGGATGCAGAAGAGTTTTCTAGACCTATGTTTGACTATTGGAAAAAGAAGAATCTTGTCCAATGCAAAAATCTAGATGCTTCACTTGCCGAGAAAATGAAGGAGGCAAGCACTACAGAAGAATGGAAGTCAAGGGGAATGAAGGTAATCATTTATATTCTATTCCTTATTATTTAGTGCACAATCCATGAAATCAATAAATAGATTGAATGATTTGTCATTACTGTTTTGACAAATTAATTATTATGATTTGCTTCATCAACGTAGGTAAAGTCACAGATGGCTTTACCATGTCGATATTTATAACATTATTATTAGTTTTATATGCATAAGATATAAGGATTTGAGCAATTTGTTGATATCGCACTTCTTTGTTATTGTTTTTTCAAATGATATTATACCGCGTGACTGTTTCTGTGCAGCTGTATTTTCAAAATAATCATGACATGGCAACCGTGTGTTTTGAAAGAGCTGGGGACTCAGAATGGGTGAAAATATCTAAGGCTGCTGGTCCCAGAGTTACAGCAAATATCACGTGTTGAATCCTGAGGATGCAACTTTGGGGATCAGGGTAGCTGCTTAAACATTTCAGATATTAGGAATGGCTGAATCTGCTACCTAGTGTTTCTTTTTCTTTTTCTTTTTTTGTGATTTTGGGAGCCTTGAAAGAGCTTGCACATGCATTTGATTTTCTAATACTGATGTATATAATTTTCCGTCCCTTGTGTAATCTATATGGACCAATGAGAATGCAACCTTCAACAACAATCTCAACATCTTTACCTCCATTTTTTTTTTTTTGGTAAACTCTTTACCTCCATTTTTAATCCTTCTTAAATTGTTGAAAAGAGTGATTCAATAACACAACAACTTCCTTTAGTTCATATATAAACCCTAATTCAAGCAAATATTAACTACATCATGGTCACAACCCAAAACCCAGAATTATGACTGAAGTATAGGTTATATTTAACCTTATGATGAACTATTTTAAAAAATTAGTTGAGTTCATGAATTGCTTTAAAAAAAAACAATTCTTTTAAGTGAAATGAGACTTCTTTTTTGCACATCCCTAACGAGAATAAGAGATGGATTAAGAAAATGGATTGAATTTTGCAATGAAAAGCTAAGATGCATGGACACTGGACACGGGACAGGACATGACACGCTGACACGTTAATTCTAAAAAGGGTGTTATTAATCTCATGTTAAAGGAGATACGTTATCTCATGTCATAGAGATAAACTTGTGGGCTCTATCACCTGAAAAAAAAAAGGTGACACAGTTATCGAAGATTGTGTAGGAGAGAAATTTATCACATGTGACATAAGAGTAATTTTTCCCTTATAAAAAATGTCATATTTCGACACGTTGGGACACGTTTTGATATTAAATAAATTTTTTAATATATATAATATAATTTATATTTTATACATATAAGAGTCCATAATAAATCATATAACCAATCAAATATTTAAATTTCATAACATAAATATAAATATAAAGAATTTTTCGTACTTTGTTAATTTTTTATGTCAAATTTTATAACAGAAAAAAATTAATTTATAAATTATTTCTTTTATATTTAGTTAACAAAATAAAATTAAGATTTAAAAAAAAAAACGTGTCTGAGCGTGTCCGAGTGTTAACCGCGTGTCGAAAAAAGTTGACTGCGTGTCGGAAAAACGTGTCGAAGAGTTGACTACGTGTCCCCAAACAAGTGTCCGAGCGTGTCCGTGTCGGACACGTGTCTGGCACGCAAATTTTTAAAAAAACTTCGTGTCCATGCTTTGGAGATGAAAAGTAGTGGTATCTTTTGAATTTCAAAACCAAGCATAACACTGCATATTTAGTTCCTCTTACCCACCTTTCAACTTCTTTGGCATTACACTTAACTACCGTTAGAAATATCATACAAAATTATTGATGTATTTTCACCTAATAGCTTTGCATGTGATGGTATCTACCATTGTGATCTCATTCTACTATTAAATGTTATGTGTGGGGCATGTTGTAATTATTTGTGCGGACAAATAATATTATATTATCCTATAATAACCCAAATATCCTAAAACACCAAAAACTTGTTGTAGCGCCTTCATTTACTAACAAATTTGCTATAACAGTTCTGCACTTTTCGGTGAAAGAACAATTAATTGTTCATGAACTAAGTATTCCAAACAGAATCTACAATGACCCAAATAATTAAGTTACACTAATTAGAAATTTATGTCTAATTATAGGGTTAATTGAGTGAAAATCCTGAACTTTGAGTAAAACCTCATCCGGGGGGTAAAATAACAATTTGGCTAAAACCGCCTGGTTTTGGACCAACTTTATGAAATACATTTCACCTAAGCCTATAAAATTAGGGAATCATTTTGGAAAGAGAAAAATTAGAGGAAAATCTAATTATGTGCATAAAGTCACTTTTTAGATAAAAGTGCAATTATAGTAAGCTTGGTAATAGAAATGAAAATTAGGCAAAAATACTCAAAACTGATAAATAAAGTATAAAAAAGTTAGTTATACGATAATTATGAAATGAGAACACGTTTATAGTAAGTCATTTGGCTATAGTAAGTAAGAGAGCAAGTTAGAATAGAAAATTATCATGTTTAGTGGTGCGACCAAATACTACTAGTCACTTATGTAACTAAAGAAAAGAAGGAAAGAGACATGCAAGACACATTTTCAGCCATTTCTTCTTCCCTAAACCGTGACAGCCATTGGAGAGAGTGAGGAAGCTTAAAAATTTTGTAGATTCAGCTAGACACAACGAAATTCAACAATTCTCAAGCCAAAATCACTTCAAATTTTCTCCTCTTTCTAACTCATAGCTCATTGTCGAGTGGGATATTTCTTCCTCAAAGCCACAAATTAGTGAGGATTTTCGTGATTTTGGGGTTTTTTGAGTGCGTTAGAGCTAGGAGTATCCTTCCTCTTGCATTCTAGGATGATTCATGGTAAGTTTGCACCACTCCTATCTAGTTTTCATGGATTTCAAGATGTTAGGTTTTTGCATGAATAGTGACACACAATTTTGATGTTTGGAGGTGTTATAGGTTGTTTTGTATATGATATCCTTTGTTAAACATGCTAAGAAATGCTTCTTGTGTGAGGACAACAAGAAAAATTACCACATAGCACATTTTGATTTTTTAGTTATGATATTTGATATTTGAAGTTTAAAAAGGGTGTTCGAAGGTTATTTGATGTTGGATAATAATCCTTGATTATTGTAATTATGATTAGGCTAATTTTCAGTGCATGGAAGCTTGTAATCATATTGATTTCAGTAGTGTACCATTTGGCCAAAGCATGAAGAATAGGAAGGAATAAATTATTAATAGAACTTGGAATGTATTTTTAGGTTTATTTCATGTGATGACAAGGTGTGAAAACCACGTTTGTCTAATGTTTATGTAGAGATCATGAAACTTGACATCCTTTGAAAATTGGTTTAACTAGTTATGACTTGAATTTCGACATGAATTGGCATGACAATTATAATAACCCTAACCAGTGAAATAAATAATTAAGGATCATTTTGGTGATAAAAATGATAAAAATGAATTAAGAATATAGACACATTTTGGGGGAAAAAAAGTGTGAACAGTAAATTTTACCGGATAAAAATTCTAGTGTGCAATTTTACCGAAAAAGCTCATAAATGAGACTATCATTGTAAAAATTAAAAATATGTCAAACAAGTCATTTATATAATGATTCTCACCGGTAAATCTTTATTACAGAGATTTAATTTGATGATTTGGATGCCAAATATATAATAACACTCACATGTGGTTGTGGATTTAATTATGAATTAATGATTTTAATCATAATATTGAAGAATAATTATAAGGAAAGTAGAAAAAAAGGAAATAAAGTCACATCTGGTGAAAAAGGAGTTAAAATGATAGTTAAGGGGTAAAAATGTGAGTAGGCAAAGTTACCCGAAAGTAAAAAAGTAAAATGGTAAATATTACCATAAAAATATTGTAAACCAATGTGTAAAGTTAGAATGAGAGTTAAGTGAGCGGGATATATGAGTTTATACCCATTGGGTTTATTTAAATCACTTAAGTACCTAAAGCTTCCTATTCTTCTTCATCTTCTGCGCATCAACTCGACAGAGAGCAAAGGAAGAAAAAAAAGGAAAGTTGAGTCAATCTTCATCCTTTGATAACTTGAGCTAAGATTGATGAAATCAATCCATTCTATAATAATCCTCACATGTAGTGTTGGATTCAATTATGAATTAATGATTTTAATCATGATATTGAAGAATAATTATAAGAAAAGTAGAAGAAAAAGAAATAAAGTCACATTTGGTGAAAAAGGAGGTAAAATAACAGTTAAAGGGTAAAAATACGGGTAAATAAAGTTATCCAAAAAGTGAAAGTAAAAATAGGAACGTGACTAGAAAAATATTCTAGTCCATTGGGTAAGGTTTGGTAGTGAATGGAGGTGCGTAGATAGATAAGATTTTACCCAATTAAACTAACTTAAATACTTAAGTTTGGAAACAGTATCCTCGTTTCTTTTTTTCTTCTCACGCATGCGCCTCTTTCTTTCTTCTTCTCTGTGCGTCGACGACCCGTAGCCATTGAAGGGGAGCTTTAATTCCAACTTCTTCATTTCTTGATGAAATCAAGTGAGGTAAAAAGCAAAGTTGCATAGAATTGGGAGACAAACACAACACTTCTAATCCATAATCTATCAAAAACTCCTGTATTGAGAGAAAAATGGAAGGGAAAGTGGCTCCCCTTTGTTGATTGAAGGTCCAAGAAGGCATTTTGATCTCATTTGAGGTTGGGAATCCACTCATTGGGTGATTCTAGGTATGTTAAGAAATCCTAGTTTAATTTGAGTTTTGAGAAAGATTGATTTAGGTTTTCATTTTTTAAGTTTGGCTTGATTGAACATGTTAGAGCTTGATTGAGGCTTAGCTCATGTTGAGAAAAGTGTTTAGATGAAGATTTTAACGGTGAAAATGTATTCAAAAAAATTAGAGATATCGTATTTGTGAATAGTGTCGTATACATGAATAGTACTGCATAGATGAACAATATCGTATGTATGTATTAATGATGGTGATAGATTAGTGATATGCTAATTGTATTCACATTTTTGGAACTAGGTTGTGATCGTGATTGTGAATCCCTGGACCCGAGATTTATTGAAGGACTTTGCTTGCGAGGCAAGCTTTCGGTCCTTGGGGTTAATCCCCCGTTTATTCCACCAAACTCCAAGGGAGGGTGGTAGTTTGATATGATATGTTGAAAATGATTTTCTATGTGGTGCATGTATATGTATGTATGTTTGTGTGCCATACAAGACGGTGTTTTCTTGTGTGAGGCATAAGACGGTGTTTCCTTATGCATAGCATGAGACGGTGTTTCCTCATACAGTATGTTGCAAGACGGTGTTTCCTTGCGTAATGCATACTTGTTATATTCTCTGGCCAGTAGGATTATGTTATTGCACACTGCATTGTCATACATATTTCGATGTATGCATGGATTTTTATACTGTGTTT